CATTTACGGCCTCAGGTTAATATTTGCTGTTTCTTAGAGGGCAACAGGGCAACCATGACTTCAGATAACGCAGTTATGGAATAGGATATCCCAAAACAGTGTTAAAATCTCCAAAGAATGAGAAATCCTCATAGCTCCATGTGCTAGACCGATATAAAAGGTGGACATAAAGATTAATTAGTTTGTTCTGTTTGGTAGATGTCTTCAGTCTCCACCCCAATGGTCAGTCCCCAGAAATATTCATAAGCACTTCTTCAAAGCAATTCTGAGCAAAGGGTTGACTGACAGAGGGTCAGATAGGACGGAGAATGTTTGCTAGGCTGGACGGTAGCTGTATAATAGGCCTGGATAGGAGTAAGAGTACAAAAAATGCCCAGAATAAAAAAAAAGAGATCCTTTGGTCTAGAGGACCCAAAATGACGGTGCTTTGAGGGAAAAAAAAGTATTATCTTTTTAAAAAATACAGCAAAAAGAAAAGAAAAGGTGAAACTTCAGAATTGTGTTTAGAGGAAAAGTGGATTAATGGTACACCGCTGGGCTCAGTGAACAAACTTACAAAGCGGTGGTAATGCAAAGACTATATAAATATTAAAATTAGTTGCAAAACTCTATTGGGAGAATGTTTGTAGGGCAGATGGGGGATAAGAGAGGTAAAGCTTCATTTATTTCTAAAAGGAAATACTATACATATGTCAAGTCTGAAACTGTTAAATCAAGACAACAGTATAAACACATTAATTAGAGGTGTGAAAATAGTTACCAAAAAACAACAACACCCATGTAAAAAAATACAAACTGATCAGTGGCTCTGGGATACGAGCCTGAAAGGTACAAAGGGGCAGGGCAGGAAATATTGTATGGATTGTAAATATTTTGATGTCTTTGAGCACATATTGATTTGGCAATTTTTAAAAGTAATGCACATGCCCAAAAACCAGTTCTAGAAATTTGGAATCAGTAGATGTAGGGACACAGGAATATGCATTTTAAAAAATCTCCCCCAGAGATTCTGACAAATTCATTCGTATGCCTCTGCTTCTAGAAACACAAATAAAGAAGTAGCAACCAGTGAAAGAGCAGTCACATCGACCTGCCAAATGGAGAAATGCCAGGAGCCGTTAGGAGGTCAGGATGTTGGTCTCTCAGACAGCTTCCCGCCGCTTTACTAATAAAATGGATCCACATTAGAAGGAGACACATAAAAATGAATAGGTTGCAAGTGGCCTCATCATTCTACAGGAGAACTTTACCGATAGGTCAGCTTTTCTCCCTCTTATATTTGTTGAAAATCAAAAGCCTTGATTCAAAAATTAGCCTGGGGAAAAACATGAAACCTTATGTAACAAGGGAAGCTTTATAACTGAAGCTTTATAATTGAAAGAGTTGCTTGATTTTTAAAATAGTTGCAAGAATGCTATCAGGATCTCTGGTGCCTACAAATGCTTGCAGAATACTTACTAGTAATAATCAGAAGTAGGACGGTTTCTGGGCACTATGGTAACTTTTAGGAAAGCTGCTTCTGGAACATGATATGATGACTGGGGATTGGCTCAGTTAGTTGTCCAAAAGCAGGGAGGAGCACAGTATCGTCATTTTCTCTGTTCTCTACCCCTTCCCAGGATTCAGTGCTAACTGAGAAAGAAAGAATTCCCACCCCACCCTTGTTTCTATTCTGCAGGATCCTAGGTCAACTTTTTGGTAGAGTGGACTTTTCTTAATGTCCACACAAACTATTGACATCTCTTTGCCTAAATTAGAGATCATCTACAGCTAGAACAGTTGATTAAAATATTTTCATGCTATCTCAATGTCAAATGAGACTCCTCACCTTTTTATAACTTTATTAACTAAATGTATCAGGGTGACATTGGTTAATACCAATGATTTATTGTTTATATCTGTAGTGACTATTAATTTTGATAATTTTTGAGGTTCATTTACAGATGAAATCATTACAAAAGGGACATTTTTATCCCTAACATGCATTTGTCTTTTTAATTTCATCCAGAACCTGGAAAGCTGGCTCCTTTTTGCTTCAACGGTAAGCTATTGGCCCGATAACTCTGACTAGGCTATATAGTGGGATTCAGTCAATTAAAATTTCACTGAATTTCTAAGAGCTTCCATCCTCCATCTATCCATCCAGTACTAGTGAGCACCTGCTATCTGCCTGGCACTGTCAGGATAACAAGTAAAGAAAAAAATCATAGGGTATATCTCTATGCTTAATTGGTCGAAAGTTTATGAGAAAGGTTTTATACGTAGGTATGTGTACATTTATGAGATATATGTTTTAAAATTTGATTCTATACTGCTCTTTGATGTTTGTCTGAATAGTTCATGTTTACAAGTTATAGTTATTGTTTTACTAGATACTTCCCATGGACATTCATTGAAGGTAAAATATTAGTGTAAATCTTTTTCTAGGCATCCTCCCAACTGGGCCTTTGCATATGCTGTTTCCTCTTCAGATAGCTCTCCTCACTTGTCCCCCCAACAACGGTCCATTCATCATCCAAAAGTCTGTCAGGCATCGTTTCTGTGAGTCCTTCCCTAAGTATTTCCCAGTTGAATCGGTCACCCTTTCCTTTACGCTGTTTCTGGACTTTGCACATATTTCTATTATTGCATTGATATAAATATTCATTAACATGTCACTCATTATTCAGCTCCCTGAGGATAGAAACATTTGTCTCTTCATTTTTGCATCCTGAATAATTAATGGAATGCCTGGCACAGACGCCTAGTCACTAAATATTAGCTCAACTAAACGGAGGAGCCATTCCCTCTATTATAATGTGTAGAATGTCACAGAAATGTGTTCACATTTTATTTTAAATTATCTCAAAATTTAAAATAAACATTTTTGAATAAATAATAAGCAGCAGATTTCAATCTTTATTAAACTCTTTTCTAATGAGAGAAAGTCTCATCCTTACAAAAGACCAATAAAATTATATAGCCAATAGCATGGTTTTTATAGATTTATCCTATTCTTATGTTACAATTACTTGTTTATATATATAAGGCCCCTCTTAGATATAAACTCCTGGAGAACTGGGACCTGGTCATATCCATTTTTGTAGTTCTGATGTACTACAATGACTGTGAGAAGAGCTTAGCAGGTTGAATTAATAAATAGAGGAAAAAATATGAGACAGTAAATAGAATTAAATCTCAGGCTCTTCTTTCTCTATTAGAGCCTGTTTTGTGATTATCTTGAAAAAAAAAAACACCTTCATAAACTCTACATAAAACTTTGGCTTTGTTGTTGAATAAGGCTAGCTTAGACAGCGTGGGTGTAGCAAACTAGGAAAACAGGTAGGAAGGGGAAAACCTTAGCTGTGCAAATATATTAATTTTATTTTGTCTTTTAAATTTACAGTGAAAGAGGTCTTTTCTAGTTTTAAAACATGGAGTGGAGGGTTGGGTCAGAGGGGAAAAAATCACTGTATTCTTTATCATGAAAAGGAATAGGTTTGTTAAACATTTCACTGAAGTTCAAAAGCTTTGGAGATCTTTCCCCCTCACTAAGATGACATTGTTACCATAGTTTCCTCTTATTCTAATTGTGGGCATGAGAATGGTTTTTAGTTGAGTCATTTGATGTTTCTCTGTGATTTTTTGGCAACATAAAGGTGCGGCTATCTAGTGAAACAGGGCCAGATGAATCAGTAGAGCTGGACACTCTCTAGCTCACGTTTGCAGAAAATTATGTACACAATTTTTCACAACAGTAGTGCTTGAAAGCACTAGTTAGTTTTGAAACTTCACTCAACTTTTCAGGAGATAAAGCCTCTATTAAATGTATTATAACTCACTATTGAGTGGGCGTGACAAATGTACTCATTAGGTGGCCCTGAAAAGAAACAATTTCTATAGAAACCACTTAGGAATTGGCAATGAAGCACTGATCATTTTTTGAAAATAAAAATTCCAGATGAATATCTCAATTTTATGTTGTTTCTTTATATACAAAGCACTTTAAAATCTATGGAATCACAATTTATAAATCTATAGACCATACAAAAGACATAACTTTTCCTCAAAAGTAATTCTCTGCTTTGTGTATCTACGAGAACCCATTGACTTTCACAAGTTTATATAATAAATAAAATCAATCTTGTGAAAAATGTGAAATGGTGATATAGTTCTTCGGAGTATAGTTACTACACTTTATAATACTCTAAGGCATTTCAAAAACAACACTACACAATTCTCAAATCAGTATTTTAAATAACAAGATCAAATTTGATTTCTTCTTTTTTTCCTGCATAAGTATTTATAAACTTTGGGACTAATCCAAGGTCATGGGCCAGGTAGAAGAATTTAAAATTAGACTGCAAAATCAGACTTAGTTCATTACTTTTTTCTTGACCTCTGTGCACCTTTCATATTTTATAATTTTTAGCCTTAGCAATTTGCCTCTGCATTTCCATGCTAAATTAATTTTGAATATAATTTGATAGACATCCAAGTAACTGCATATGAAAATTAATTCATAAGGACTAGAGAAAAAAATCTATATATTAAAGCATATGGGGACCTAGAAAGATGAATACCACTTAAAATTTTTTTTCTATGAGATAAGCATGAATATTTAAATATATAACCTGGGCAATTCAGCATGAGAATACTACAAGATTAATCCATATTAAACATATCAATGGCTGAATATAAGCTAGAAATGTATGAAATGTTAATCACATCCCTAAGAAGAAACTCTAGAATTAAATTAGAAAAGTGTCAATCTCAAGAGTCCACTGAACCCAGCAAAGAGAAGGGGCAGTCTGAAAAATGTGGCCAACATGGCATTTCAAGCTGTTTCCAAAATACTTCAATGCGATCCTCTTAAAATTAGGAAAAACAATTTGTGGTTTTCCGCAAGTTAAGTGACCTTTGACCCTCAAATTAAGAACACAGAAAGAAGCTCCTCCTATTTTGCCGCAGGAAAAAAGATGTTGCAGAACAATGTTCTCCAACAGCACTTAGGGACTTACCCGTCTCCATCTTCCCGTCCTGTGCTGCGGGCCCGTCCGGAATCACACTTTTCACCTGCAGAAACTCGTCGGGCTCGTCTCCGCCAATGATGGTAAAGCCAAATCCCATGCTGCTCTTTTTCAGGGTGGTGCTGAGGAACGTCCCCTTCAACTGGGATGCATCCCGGGTGAAGAGCGGCTTTTCTACGTTGGCCAAATGTAAGTTAAAAGAGAAAACGCGTGTCAAGGCAAGTTCGCACACGGGGAAGCGAGCCGCCGGGCAGCCATCCCGGGATGAATGTGCGGCCCCCCACAGTGAACGCAAGCAGCGGGGAGGTGCTGGAGGGGCAAAGCTCGCAGCACTGCCTGCAAACAGCGCAGTCCAAGCATCCAGGGAAAGGTAGAAAGGCTGCTTGATTTGGAGAGAGATTTCTTGTTGTGAAGTCAATGTTTTCATTCACTCAAGTAGCCCTTCTTGTGTTTAAAAAGGGCTGAGTCAACATGCCATCAGCGGATAAAGAGGAGCCCAGAGGTTTCTGGGTAGTCCCTCTTGCTCTGAAAGTGTCCAGGTAGGAGACCGTAAGTGGCTGGTCCTGCACAAAACCTTGAAACCGAAATGGATTGTTTTGGTTTAAAAAGAATAGAAGCTGTGGAATGTTGCCACCGAGTCACAACATCTAAATTGTTTAGAAAAAGTACCTGGATGTGGGACTGAGTTAACTTATGCTAATGAGATGCTGTAAAGATAAGCAGATAAATCCGTTTCTACTGGCCTGATAGTGTTTTAGGATTCTCTAAAATGTGAGCAAAGGGCAAGCCAATATTTCTAGATAAAATTATGAATGTAAAGGTAACACATTTGTAACAATATGTTGACACATTCAAATCATATACCTAAATAATCAGAACAGAACTTGAATCCACTCTTATAGGTTTGACCATTAATTTGTTATATAATATGCTTTTGCAGCTATGATCTGTAATAAATATTTTCCTAACAATATATTAAATGCTTTAAAAATAATAGTCACACTGGGAAGCCGAATTAATATATTTTCAATGCTATCACAATCAAGTATAATATGTACTATATATATATATATATATATATATATATATATATATATATATATAGTTGTTATAGTTTGGTTGACATTATTTGATAATTGGATCAGCAAAACTATACATGGTAACTCAGTTATGTATTTTCTATGATACTTTTGCTATTGTTACATTTTTGGTGATATGTAATGGACACACTACAAAATAATGAGTTATATTTGAATTTTACTTGGTCTATTACACATCACAGATATCTTTGTGAAAAATAGAGAAAGCTTCTTTAACAATAAAAACACACATATGTAATCTTGTCACTGAGGTTTCCTTTATGAAAGCAACGTTTAAGCTGGAGACCTTTACATTCACGGCAAGTGTGCTGTAGTGTAAGGTGTGAAGATCATCAGCAGGCAATCTAGGCCCCCGCGTACAAAAGCCTCCTTGCTTTTGTGATGAGAAAGAGAGCCCACGAAGACGTGAAAGGTTTGTGCAGCATCTCATCCCACTGCGTGGCTCTATGGCGTAGTCAGGTGCACAAAGCAGCCCCGGACATACCGATCGGCCAGGGCCAGGGCCTCCAGGCGTGGTTGTGCGGATAATAGGACACGTCACTCACGCTGCGCCACCTCCCCGGGGCAGGGCGGGGGCGGCCGGCTTTGGGCCTAGGTATTGTTGATGAGGAGTTGTCTACTGCCACAAAGGAGAACGAGCCTCATTCTGGTGCTTGGTGTTTTGAGGACAAACTTACGATTCTCTAAGTATCTCTGCAGTTTAAAGTACCATTGTCAGCCCTAACCGGTTTGGCTCAGTGGATAGAGCGTCGGCCTGCAGACTGAAAGGTCCCCAGTTCGATTCTGGTCAAGGGCATGTGCCTTGGTTGTGGGCACATCCCCAGTGGGAGATGTGCAGGAGGCAGCTGATTGATGTTTCTAACTCTCTATCCCTCTCTCTTCCTCTCTATAAAAAATATATTAAAAAAATAAAAAATAAAGTACCATTGTCAGACCCATTAATCGTCACCTGGCAACCTGCTGTAAATTCCTATAACGTACTCCCCCCGGGTTTTAATTGAATCTGTGGTTGCTAAATACATTAAGTTTAGAAACAGAAAACACCCAGCTAAAGCTAATAGAGGGGTTTGGGAAAAGCAAATTGATTATTTGAAACGGTCCAAGAAAAGGCATGTGTGTGGGAAGAGCAGGCAGTTGGATGGACAGTTTTTTCCCTTTGAAACATTGCATGGTGACAGGTACCAACCTCGGAAACCTGGGGCCTGCAGGGGCTTGGTTCCAAGTTCCGTGTGGGGCATGTTATGCTGCTGTAGCTTCCGTTTTGCTTCCAGGACAGGGTTTTCAAACTGTGTTCTTCTATTTATGTGGCTGAAAAAGAAAAGTTCGAATTAGGGTAAAGGTGGGGCCAAGTCCTTTAAGAGAACATTTGTACAGCTCTGCAGAGAGCAGGTGAGTAAGAAACACCGAATTGTGATTATAGGCAAGTGCCCACCAGGTATGAAGTCAGCCTCTGCTGAGCCCGCCTATGCACAGCATGCGTTTCCGTGACAGGAGCCACGTCTCAATGGCTCCGTCCTATCTTATTACATTACACTTATGGATGATTCAGCCAGAAGAACCAGAATGTGCACTTGCTTTCTGGCCTACGCTGTTAGTCTGAGGTAAATTTGGTGCATTTAAATAAATGGTCAACAAATGGAATTTACACCAAATGGCGAAGAGAAGAGCATCATCTAAGCTTTGCAAAGCCCCTAGAGGATGGTTGATGCTGAGATCAATCAAAAGTCGAGTACATTTCCTTTCTGCATAGTGAGATGATACATTCATAGATATTAGAGACAGGAGGCTGGAAGCACCTGTGGGTCAGCTAGACTTAGGGATTATAGAAAAGCATGCCTTCTAGCATCCCTACAGCATAATGAATTCTGTGAAATTTAGAGTTCCCTTCCACAGAAAGGAGAGAAACCAATGACCCTGCCCAGCAGCAGTGCCATGCGGCTCTTTCTCTAGGATATGAACACACCACAAGAAATCTGGCATATACATTGATTTTAAATCTTTTTATATACAGAAATAGAATTATGGATTATGGAAGAAGAGACAGGTTAGAAGAGGAATGAACAATTACTGAGCACTCAACGCTGTACCAGCTACTATATATAAATTTCCTTAGTTCAGCTTAATGGCAACTGTCTTGTATTCTTATTATCCCATTTTAAGGTGATGAGACTGATACATTGGAGGCCAGATGACTTGCTCTAAATCATATGTCCAGTAAGTGAAAAAGATGGGGATTTGACCATGTCTATCTCTAAGATGTACCTTCCATCACAAACCTTCTCTTTTCAGTGTGTGATTTCACAATAGCAAGTGCAGGCATATTTAATGTGCACATATACACACACATGCGTGCACACACAGTCCTCTCATTTTATATTTTCTAGAACTACCCATCAGAAAGCAGAGGAGGTAAAAGAATCAAAATCTCAACAAACAATTTTATATTAATACATGTCAAATAATTCCTGGTGAGAGAGAAAATCGATTGTCAGGAACATGATGAGACCATTGCAATATCTAATTCCTTCCTCATGGGGGACAGGGTAGGGTAGCTGCCACTATATGGGCCCTGCAGTCAATTAGTCCTGGATTCAAAATTCAGCCCTAGTGCTTGATTAACAGTGTGACCTTGGGCAAGTTATTAAACTTGAACCTTAGTGTCTTTATCTATAAAATGAGCATAATATTCCCTTCCTCCTGGGGTACTTGTGAGGATCCAATGAAATAACAAATTTCGACACAAGGTTTCAAGCAGAGACATACTTAACAATTAATAGCAGCTGTTATCACCCTAAGCCCATAGGAAAGGCTTTGGGGTGGGGACTTTAACAGCACTGGGATCTTTCTCTAATATCGCCTCTGGTATAGGCTGTGGTGCTGTTTCGGATGGGGGATCTTATACCGTAACAATGTTCTTTGGTACTGGAACTTGCTGGTGTGCGGTTCAATGTAAATCTGTCTTTAGTAAAATTATTTTCCATTGGAAGTAAATGCTACTGCAATGCTCTTGTACACCAAGAAGTCACCAAGATCTGTGGTGTGTATTGAACTATGAACTTTTAAAGCTTCTTTGCCCCATAAACTCAGTGCCAGAGTTTGAAGCTTCTCTTCCTTGTCTCCACTTCCCTTTACTAAAATCCTTGAGATCTTTCTATTATCTAAGGAAATACTATTCCTGAGGTGGCCCTTACTTATCTCTGTAGCTTCACCTTTGGCTGCATCACATACTTGGAGCTACTCTCATCAGCAACACCCTACCAAGCCTCTTATCTTGTCAGGTGAGATTCAGGGTATCAATGGTGCAATGCCTGAAGCAAGACAGCCTGGGTTTGCGGTGGCATCTTGGGCAAAATACTAAGCTTCAATGTCCTCATCCATAAAATGGGAACATTAATATCTACTTCTTGGGGTTGCTGTGAAGATAAGAAAAATAATGTTTGTAAAGCACAGATACATACGGAGGACCCCGCAATTGTAAGGTAATTATTTTTTACTCTTTAAGGTATAACTTATTCTTCAAAAGTAACTTATTCTTTATTATTATTATTAATAACTAGAGGTCCGGTGCACAGATTTGTGCACCGGTGGTGTCCCTCAGCATGGCCTGTGCCCTCTCGCAATCCGGGACCCCTTGGGGGATGTCAGACTGCCAGTTTCAGCTGGATCCCTGCAGGCCAGGCCGAGGGACCCAACTGGTGCAAGAATCTGTGCACTGGGCCTTTGTATGCGTATAAGATCTTTGATTAATCTCTTCCAGCCATCGCCCCTCCCCCCTTCCCTCTGAGATTCATCAGTCTGTCCCATGTTTCCATGCCTGGGCATTGAGTGTCTGCCCCCTGGTGGTCAGTGCATGTCATAGCTACTGGTCGAATGGTCGCTTAGGCATATATATATATTGCTGTTGATGTTATTGCAATTATTATCTTGATGCTTTCTCCTTCTGTCCCATAGCTCCCTTCCTAATCTCTGCCAGCAACATTCCTAGCCTGTATTATGCTTAGTTTATTTATTTTCTTACACCCTGCCTCATCATTAAGAGGATTTGAATTACTTTTAAAGAACAACAATGAAGAGTAAATAAAATCAGGGTGAAATCAGTTGAATCTGAGTGGAAGATCAATATACAAAATTGATAATACAGTGTCTTACTTGTTTACTGGAGTTACATTGCAAATTAGCTTTGAGCTTTCTAGCTGCTAATTCAATGGGAGAGAGAAACCATTTATATTCTTCAGAGTATTTAAGATAAACCAAGACAGTTGTTCCAAAGATTATAGTATTTCTGTTACTGAGTCTTGAGATCTTTATTTCCAGGTCTTCGATAAAGAGGTTTCTGTGATGTAGTATACAACATCCTAAGTGATCATTCACAATAATGAACTTAAAGGACTAGCATAACCTTACTATACTGTGTTAAAAGGATTGATTTTCATCTTTAGACTGTGCACACCTGTGCTCGTGGCCCATCTTTGTGTACTGAGCATTGGAGAGAGGGAAAGGCAGTAATTTTTTATTAAATAATGAAATGATGAGTGTGTGTTTTAAGACTTTCGTTTACAAGTATATGGAACTGATTTCCAGAAGCCAAAAACAACTTTGAGGTGTATCAAAGTATCAGCTTTCCTCATTTCCTACCTGTTCTATTTCTCTTTTGCTAGGTGTTGTTCAACATATGCTGCATAGCTTCATCCTTAGAAAACACATTATAAGAACACTCCAGGGTTCATTTACATATACAATTGGGATCCTCCAACTTTCCACCTGCACATAATTATTTCCTTAAAAAAGTCAATATGTAGCCACCTGCTTTATGGACACAATGCCAAAAATATTCCATTCACCATGAAAGTGAGTTTGTAGACTTAACAGAGAATGAAAATATCAATGAACTAGTCTGACATACCTTGTACCCCACAAATAGTAGAAGCTGGGTGTGACTTCAGTATCCTGAGCTAATTGCTATAGAACATTTACATCGTCACTAATGAAGTCATTCATTTAAAACTTAAAATGATCAAAGTTTTAAAAGACCTATCACAAAGAAATACGATTGTAGCTGAATAGGTAGCCTTGTCTTCCTTGTGCTTCCAAAATGAATAGTTTCTGGTCCCTTTAGCAAGGATTTGGGGGTCTTACAATGTTTAGAAAGAGTGTGAATGGCAAATGGAATCTCCTCCTCATTGTTTAGGCTCTGTAAGATAATTACTAGCTTATTCGTATAGCTTCCATAAAGAACAGGCACCTGTGAAACTACTGAGAGTTCTTAACTCTAGTTATATCTAGTGTATTGTCACATTTTTCTAGTAGAAATCTTTAAATGTTAAGGGCTAAGGGGGTAAGAGACATATTCTGAAGTGGTATATCCTAACAACACCATTTTCCCTTTACAAAAAGAAAAGACTATTGATACTTCCATGTTAAAATGGCCAAGGGATCAGGATATTCAAAAATGAGGTTCCATTCTTGAACATCCTATATGCGGCAGTGCTTTGCAGTTCAGGACAAACCCGAGGAGTTCACAAAACAAAAACAAAAACAGAGAAGACTCAGGCCCGCCCTAAATCAGCTGAGCCATAATCTCTGAATGGGGTACAGCACTGGCATTTTTTAATAAAAGCTTCCCAGGTACCATAATTCTAATGTGCATTAGAGTTGGCAATCCCCTGAATTAGAAGCTGAAAAAGCCTTGGCCTAAGTCTTATATACCTGTGACTTCGTTGTCTGAGCACTGTCCTGTGCACTGAAAAGCCACCGGTTTGATTCCTGGCCTGGGTACCTGCAACACACGCTGTGGGCTCGATTCTTGGTAGGGGGCACACAGGAGGCAGCCAATCAATCTTTCTCTCTCCCTCTCTCTGTAAAAAATCAATAAAAAATAAAATGAAATAGAAGCCGAGAAAGTAAGTAAAGGCACTTGACTAAGGCCTGATAAGATTTAGCCTGATAAGATTTATGTGGAAGTCTCATTTTCTGTATGGAGCCTTGGGGAGTACTAGTGCTTCAGAATAGAGGGCTCATGAAATCAGAAGGTTCAGCAATGTGAAATGCCCAGAGCAGAGGAAATATTTGTAGCTGATCGGCTATGCTGCCAAAGGTAGTCCCAGGTCAGCATTCTGTTTGACTGCTACCACCTTCACTGTGGGAGGGCATGGAAGAAACAGGAGGACAGATGTACATCCTGGGCCAGTCAGTACACACTAGACAGGTCTGCTGGGCGTTATAAAGACTATTCTCTGACCTTCACATGACCTGTGTTCCCTCCATAGTCCAGGCTGTTCACCCCACCTTGCTTCTCCTGGGTTCTTTAG